AGGTAAAGAAAAATTTTAAAATCTATTTATTTATTATATTTACTTTTAAAATAAATGATTTTACTATAAAAGACATATCTAATTGATCAAAAATCTGTAAAATATTCATGATAATGTAATATTTAGACTTATTCCAAAAATTCTTTATCAAAAACAAATCTCTTTTTAAATACTACAATAATGACAATATATTAACTTTGTGGAGTTATTTTAATAAGTCTGGAGATAACACACAAAGAATTTTTGGAATCATTTGGCTACTTTTGGAAACAATGATGCTTTTGATAAAAAAGAAGGTATATGTGAAAGTTTTGCACAAGAATCTCAGATGGAAAGTCACCACGAAATATAAATAACTTACAAATTTTTAACAATATTATCAAGTACTCATCCACAGCATATTTGTTTGTTTCAAGAAAATCTTGCAGGAAGAAATTAAATTTAAATAAACATCAATCTCAAAAACGTTTTACTAAAATTTTAAATTTAATGCAGAATCAACCATTGCAAATATTTCATCAGTATATCCAGCAATTAAGGGAGGACTTGCTTTTGCATTAACTAATTCTAAAATTCACCTTGTTCAATTTCTAGCATTATATTATTACTCAACTACAGGAAATTATCATTCTTATGCAAAGAACCAATACTGATGTTGATATCATTTCAATGTTTCCTGTAAAGTATATATTAATCTTCAAAATAATATTTTTTATTCAACAAGTGAAGATGAACATGAATTGTTCTTACATTTATTATCAAAGCAAATCATTTATTATTTTGGTAGTTAAGTTTCAATTAGTGTGAATATTATGAATAGTATGGATATGATTACTATTCAACTGCATTTAAAATTTATAAACTCTAACAGATGAAAAGATTTCATTGTGTATTTTGGATTGTTTAAATATTTAACTAATTACATATTTTTGGATGTGGTGTGAAAATTTCTGGGTCATTCTCTCTTATCGACCTCAAATATGATGTAAAATATTTTTGACATGGGTTGAGAAGATCCTGGAGGTCCTATTAATAGAAAATTTAAAGGAATAGTTAAGCCTAAAACATTACTGATGATGATATCGAGAGACAATTGAAAAATTTTATATATATTTAAAATTTTCTTTATTCAAATTAAGGTATAGAATTGGGAAAAACTACCAAATGCTATTATTAGTTTAATAGGTTGTTGATTATTTATTGCGAATAATGTTTAAGATTCAGAGTAAATACTTGTATTAAAATGATTGGGAAAAAAAGAAAATTAATAATAAAATATGTTCTATAAAAAAATCAGTATGAAAATGTTGTGCGAAATCAAATTTGCGTCAATTTGAATTAAATTTTGGAATGGGTGTTTGAATACAAAATTCTGATTGGCTAATTTGAATTTCACGCGCGTGAATTTCAAATTGACGCAGACTCCAAATTCACACACAACATTAACACATGTTGCTTTTACTTATTAATGTCTTCTTCTTTTAGAGATATGTGCTACATGTAAACAAGAAGATCATTCAATGTCAACATCCAAGAAATGTAAATCCCCAAGTTAGCTTGTAAAAACGGATACTACCATCTGCTATGTTGACTCTACTGTGAAGATATGATTTAATTCTTTTCTTGCAGAACCTGAATTACATTAGAGTTATTGCATGCAGTAATGGAAAAATCAGAATGGTTGCCGTGTTTAAAATAGCAGCATGTAAATGCCACTACTTTAACAGCCATTCTTGATTTTTTAGTTATTCTTGATGTAATTATTGCATGTTTCTGCATGCGACAATTGGTTCATTGTATGTCTGACTACAAAACAAATAATGGAAAATTTAGCATGCCTCATTTCATAGGCAGGCATACAATAAATAATCTTATTGAAGATGCGGTTGAAAGAATGACATAAATTACAGCAGAAGCATCACAGCTTGCACAGCGCTAATTATATATTGTGTTGAAAATAATGTACCAGTTCCCAAGGTTAATTTACAATCACGGTTGCACAAGAAATGTTTTTACTACAGTCTGTCATCAGTCAGCGGGTCAAGAAATTTTCCCAAAACCACATCATCATCACTTATCAATCATGTATGTGACACTAGAACAAGCCTTGGAATGATAATGGGTACATTTGCTTTTCTTTTCTTTTATATTCCCTTACTGTTATGTTTAAATACACTTGCGCCTGGATGATGGGTAAAACTTTACTTGATTTGAGATCACAATAATTGTCTAAGGCCAAGAAGTTGGGATTAATCAAAGTAATAGTTTCCCCACTAGACTTGGGTTATTGTGGTGAAGTCGGAGAAAAGTTTTAATCACATCATGTAGAGTAGAAGAAACCTTACCTTTTTAGGAGAGATGTTCAAGCAAGAGAACAAATAAGAAGGCCTTCAGCTTATTTGACCTTGCACCTATCACCAGTTTCAAAAGCAGATACATTCCAATCCAAACAAATGCTCTTTTTGATTTGGTTCATTCAATTGATTTTGCTGGCTTGGGAAAAAGCATGGACTAACAATGACAGAATTTGGAAATGATGTCTTAAGCTGGTGGAGACTAGCATTTAATATCAATAGGGTGAATACTTATTTTAATCTACAATATTTTCTTCACTTGTAAAACTCGATTCTTTTTTCAAAAGTGATTACATAACCTAGTGATGATACAAGGAGGCAAATATTTGGCCTTAGCATCGTGACAGATGCTGTGAGTGTTTCCATTCTTGTGACAAAGCCAACAATCCAGTGGAATGGTGTGAATGACTATGATTTTGATCAAGATGGGTGTGCTGGGTGGATTCAGGAAGAAAAACCTTATTTGTTGCTTCGTATGATGTGGATAGAAGAAAATTGATAAAGAAATCATACAGTGAAAAAATAATAAGAGATTAGTCAAATTGATACAAGATAAACTGATATTTATCTTAATTAAGTCTAGCTGTATCTTGGAACATTTCAACAGCTTTTCCAACTTCATCTGTCGCCTCAGTTTCTCAACAGAAAGAATATCTGCGTTATTTCCTTGAGCACATTCCAACACTGCTTGAATTTCATAGTACTAGGCCCTATAAAAATTTTTGTCAGAAAATGTATGGTTTTTCCGTGCAGTTTGTATGGAATATGTACGGAAATATACACGAAAAGAGTGCTTTTCCGTGCATATTTGTCCTAAAAATGACCTGAAAAATTACATTCCATGCATTTTCCGTAAATTCTAAACACAGAAAATGCACGGAAAGTGCACAGGAAAGTGCACGGAATGTCAGGTCATTTTCCGAAAATTCATGTATTTTCCATGTATTTTCCATACATTTTCAGGGCAAATATGTACGGGAAAGCGCAGAAAATGCAAGGAAAAACCATACATTTTCTGACAAAATTTTTTATAGAGTGGCACTGCGCAATCTTTGAAGTCTTACCGTGAAATTGTTACAAGAATAACTGGTGAATGGCCAAGAACAGTTTCTCATCCAGTAGACGTAGAAATTTATCTGAAACTGAAAAAACATGTCGAGCTAGGAAATATGACGAATTCAGAAATTCCATTATCTGTTCTTGTTGTGATGGACAAATGGAGATAAATTATTAGTATTAAATAAAAACGTTGTTTGCTAACTAATATTCATACCTGTTAGACAAAATACTGATATAAAACAGAAATTTCTTACCGAAACGTTAGCAAAACCTCCACGGAGAAAAGAAAAATGTTTAATATAAATATAGAGTACGTTTCAACCAATCCTACTGGTCATTTACACTTGGCCCATTTTCGGCATGCCATTATTGGCAATACTCGCGGTGGGCAAATCATTTCCCTGTTTACTATTTTTATCATATATAAAAAAAAAAAATCTGTGACACTTCAATTTTGATAACTGTTATGCACAACATTTTGGGTAAACAAAAAAAAATATATGGTAAAGAATGAATTCAAAAAAATGAATTTGTGTAATTTTGCGGGAATCGATGGATATATTCATTTGTTTTTTTTTTAATTTTACCATTACATATTTATATAAATCACACAATAAATCTTAATATATAATAATTGATAATTGATAACCAATATAACCAATATAGAACTATCTTTAATTTTAAAAAATATAATTTCTCTAAATAAATTATTCTAATCAACAATATTCAATATGTCATCGAAAAGTTTTGAAAAGCCATTATCAGAAATTGGTAAGATATTTAAAAAACTTAAAAGGTAATAATAATATTTAATAATTAAGCATTAATTCTGTTTTTTGAAATTTAAATAATAATTCATTTTCTTTTGATAATTAGAATGTCATATCATCATAACAGTCATCCTCAAGAAGATAAAACAAAAGAAAAAAAACAAAAGAAATCACATAAAAAAGCAACAAAAAGAGCTAGTATGCCAATACTATCATCATCAAAACAACAACAAAACCATTTTTTAAATCAAAAACAAAAATCAAACAGCCTTAAAGTTAGAAATACAAAAATCGAGACAAGAAATAGTTTAGATATGATTGATAAAAATATCTCTACTTCTTCTTCTAATAATAGTTATGTTAATATTAACAATAATGTAATTGGGCTTTATGAAAATAAACTTCGTAAAAGTGTTTTAAATCAACATCACCTAAAACTTTTAACCGAAGAAGACGAAGATGAAAATGAAGAGTATGTAAAATATAATAATAATGATAATGGCATTAAAAATATTGAATACGATGATAAAGTATATGAAGAAGAAAAGGATGACAATGAAGAAGAAGATGAAATAACTCAACCAATTCAACCAATTCATAATAATAATAATAACAATAACAATAAATATTATAAATCTAAAAAATCAAATGAAAATTTGATAGTGTCAAACAATAATAATAATAATACGATACTAATAGAGAAAAAAAATGATAATAATAAAATATTATATGATGATTGTGAAAATTGTTCTAATAATTTTAATTCATGGAATTGGTGCCAACCTTGTAATTCAAAACGTTTTGAAAAATCATTTTCCAAGTGGACATCCAACTCATTCATAATAGATAAATTTATACAAAAAACACAACTATCTTCAAAAGGACATTTTAACAAATTAGAATGGATACCATTCGAACGATTTAAAGATATTAATTTAATAAATAACGAAAGTTTCTCGAGTACTATATATGAAGCTATTTGGATTGATGGTGATATATTGAATTGGAACCACGAAAAAGGTGAATGGATGAAATTCGGTCAGAAAAAAGTCGTTTTAAAAACATTGGAAAAAATTACGATAGATGAAGGATTTTTTGATGAGGTAAAAATGTATAATAAATAATATTATAGTGAACGACTATATACACTTATATACTTACATACACACATACATATAATACTTAATATTAATATTATTTATTAATTAATTGATTTATAGATAGAAAAATGTTTGGCAAGATTGGAATTTGACGAATGTACAAATTTAAATCTTTATTTTGGGTTTACACAAAATCCGAAAACAAAAATATATATGATAGTAATGGATTATGCACCTGATGGAAATTTACATCAATTTATTAAGTCATCAAGCTATTATAAGAATATAAGTTGGTTTGACAAAATAAGCTTGTTGTATAATATTTCATTTGGATTAAAGGAATTACATGATATTAATATAATTCATGGTAATTTACATCCTGGAAATATATTACAACATTATATGGTACCAAAAATTAGTGATTATGGTTTATTTAAAAATGTTTCTAGGCAAATTTTAAATAATTTTTTGGAAACATATCATGGATTTATTCAAAATGTAGACGAAATAAAAGATGATGGTGTGAAATCAAAAAAAACTTATAATAATCATGATAGTAGTAGTAGTGATACTAATATGAACAGCTCTAATATGAAAGAAATTAGTTTTTTTGGTAATTTAGCATATATAGCACCAGAAATATTATCAGGAAAACAACAAAAACTTACAATATCAAGTGATATTTATAGTTTTGGTATTATTATGTCAGAGATTTTATTTGGTAGACCTCCATACTACAATAGATCTTTTGATAAAGATTTAATCTATTCTATATTGATAAGTAATAATAGACCAATAGAAGAAGAAGAAGAAGATTATGATGATATATTAGAAGGTGGTGGTGGTAAAAGTGGAAGAACTCCAAAATCTTTATTAGATTTAATGAAACGTTGTTGGGATAAAAATCCTGATAATAGACCAAGCGCTTTTGATCTGTGTAGAGAATTTTCGAAATTTGAATGGTGGACTATAGATCAAAGAATTAAAAAATACAATCATGATGACGGTGATGGTGATGAAAATATTTACAATATTAAAAATAATATCAGCGACAACAGCAATAGAAATATTTTGTTAAAAAAATCTTATGATAAAAAGATTCATTATGAAATCCATCCTAAGGCTTGCTATTACAGCAAATTATATATATACAACAATATTTTAGATTTTATTAACAACAATGATTTAAGTAACAAAAAAGATGAATATTACAATCGTGTCATTTCAAATTTTAATCATTACTACAAAGGTATTTTTATTTAATTATTATTATTTTTTTTTATTTGTTAAAGAAATTGTAAAAAATTAATTCATTTCGTTTCTTTAAATAGATTTTGATAAAAATAGATTATTAAATGAAGATGAAAATGAAAATGATAATGTAATAGCTGAATCATCGTCATCATCATCAACGTCACCATTTACAAGAAGAGCAACAAAAATTATATTTCAAAAATGATAATATCATTTTATATTATTATAGAATTATAAATTAAAAACAATACATGTATATTTATTTTTTCAATTGTATTTATATTAGTTATTATGTATTATTATAATTATAAAAATCATACAATATATATATATATATATATACATAATACAACATTTATGATATGAAAAAGAGCTGATTAATTGATCAATTATTTAAAAACAATTCAATTCATACTGCTCACTCATTTGAGACGGAGCTTTTGTGTATATGCTTGCTTTAGATTATTGTTTCTTGGTGCAAATTATCCGTTCAGTATGAATTTAAAATATGCTAATGAAATTTTTAATATTTTACAAATCTTTTTCAAAAATCTCTATAAAAATTTTGTTTGTAAATCTTGATATAAATTTTAGTAAAAAAAAAAAAAAAAAAAACTTATCAAAAAAAAAATACATAGATAGATAAATAAATAAATAAGGAAAATTTTTTTCTTTTTTAATTAGTAGTGTTAGTAGTAATTCTTCTGACTCTATCAATTATCATGCTCAAAGTTTTGATTTCTTCCTCAAGTTTTTCGCGTTTTTCAGTGAATTCTGGATTCTCGCCTAACAAATGATCTAAATCAGGAACTGAATCACTTAAATTGTCGTTTCTACTTGATGTTCTATGTATTATGTCGTCATTTTCTTCTAATGTATCTGATGATTCTTCACGTCCAAGCGTTAAAAATCCAAAATATCTTCTCAAATGTGTTCCGAGTCGCGAACTAAATTTGTGCACCAAATAATATTCGACCACTCGAGGTACAGTTTCACGAAAGCGTGAATGCACCATTTTCCAATAAGCTAGTGCGCCCTATTTTAATCATAGAGAAATATGATAATAATTAAAAACTTTTTAATTTAATAATAATAATAATAATAATAATAGTAATAGTAATAACAAATTCTTAGAAACGTTACAGTAGCGGCAAGAAAAGCCTGTTCATTAATCGTGGATGATAAAAGTTCTGAATTTTGTTTACTGTCCGAGTTTTTTGGAACTCTGTTTATGAGTTTTTCTAAAAACATATTTTTAGCCGTGATCATCATCGAAACAGTCGCTGTTGATGGTGTTTTTCCATTCGAAGATTTTATATCTTCAATTAACCGCTGACTAACTTCGTCCTTTGTTTGGGTTTCACTCAAGACCTTGATTAATTCATTTTTTACATTCTCAAAATTTGTAGCATCACTGCTTGTAGGTGTGGAAGGCCGATTATTAAAAGCATCAAAATACTTTCCTCCTAGATCAATGATTTTGGTAAGTTTTGCTCTTATCTCTTTATTGGCAGATAAGACTCGCATCTCCATATAATATTTGTACTGCTTTTTTAATAATGTTGCTTCATCCGTTACATACAATGCGCGACTAGCTGACATGTGTTCCATCCTTTCCAAATCGAGAAGTTGCTTTAAAGTTTCCTCCTTACATGATCTTAAAAGGTCTTGTAACGTTGCTCTAAAAAATATATATAAAATACGAGTAGGTTTCAACAGTTTAAACATAAACAAGATTTTAAATAACTCAATAATTAATTAATTAATTACTTGACAGTATCTATAACAAATGGAAATTCAGAGAATTTTTTTTCGACAAAGTTGTCTGTGAATATTCGCACCCATTCAGCGTTTTTATCTAAAAGTGTATGCGAGATTTTATACCATTCTTTCTGATGTCTGGCAACTATAGAAACGATCGCTTTATACGGAAAGTACCCAACTAGCTGACCACCTTGGGCCTCTTGCATTTTTTCACATAATTGTTTCATGTCCCAGGTATACTCGCTTTCGTTGGCTATCAATCCCTCGTCCTTAGACCATTCATCAGCACCAATTTCATTCAACAGTTTATCAGTCCAGCCACGAACTTGTAGTGCACCAGGTCTGATTGGATCAAATTCCTGATTCATTAATTGATTATCAATTGATAAGTTGTATCTAGGGCGAGTATTCAACAAAACTCTATCAAATTCTCCGAAATTCCACTGTTGTCCACGATATAAACGGTGATCGATATCATTGGCGTCTGCATGATTAGTGAATTCCTTGTCGAAAATTCCGATTATTTCTATAAATCGGATTATAGGGTTACCTTTTGGTGCTGGCGGTATTGAACTTAGTTCTGCTTCTAACTATATATTTTTTTAGAAAAAAATAATATCAATTTACTATTTTGTTGTTATTTTTACTATCATATTATTATTACCTCGGATCTACGTTTTTGTAAATAGGGCCTAATTTTTGGCCATGCTAAATCCAAGGCTAACTTTTGCAAGTCACTCAATTTATCAATCAAATGCTTCAATCCCAACCTATTACTAGGCACATTTCTCCAACTTTTATTTAACATTAAATGGCTAAGTGCATTCTTTTCAATAGACTCGTGATCTTCAAAATTTTCTTTAGAGCTGGCAGGGTTCCTCACCACATACACCCCATTAACTAACTGATGTTCACCTTTACCCTCGACAAAATTAGCCAACGCTTTATGTTTAATTTCATCGTCAGAGATTTGATCGATTTTTGTTAGGACACCAACCGTCCGTTTACCGCTAGGATCAGCTTCTTTTGCTAATTTCCAAGCACTTTGTGTCGCTATATCCGCAGTTGCTTGAAATATTGGTAAAAGGATCGTCGTATCTTTATTGATATATTCTTTAACAAGAGAAATGACAAAGTCCTCATTCTCCTGGTTGTCTCGGATAATTCCTTGATAATTAAGGAAAAATATAAATTTTACGATTTTATCGAAAAATATTTGTAATTAAATAAACAAATAATGTTCTCATTACCAGGAAGGTCGACCATGGCCAATGAAAAGTTTTGGTTAGGATCACCGATTGTAACGCAGATGGCGTTACGCGTGAACATCAACTCGTCTTTATTACCCAATGTATCAGATATCGGGCTATCTTGTACTTTTATTGATGGATTTAGAACATAACGCTGAGCCTCTCGTAATTTTTCTTCAATCTTTTCACTTTCCATATCTAGAATATCACAAAAATCGATTTCGTTTGGAGACGTTGCTATACGTTTGCTATTTTCCACATATCGTAAAGATATCCTACGAATTGGCTCTTGTGTCTGCATCATTCTAATTTCAAATGGAGTTGCAGTGCACCTACCAACACCTCTGATAATAAAATTTATATAATAATAAAATAAAATAAATGGTTAATAAATAATGCGTTTAAAATAATTTTTTTACATTAAAATATGTTTATAATATTACTTCGGTACAGGAATGCCACCAGTTAATCTTTGCATCAAAGAACTTTTACCAGCGCTTTGATCACCAAATGCTACAATAGTAGGTGTATCATTCTCAAGCTCACTGGTGTACTTGCGGATCTGCACCATTATGTCTACATAGTTCTGTGCATTTTGAGTTTGTGCCAAAGGTGAATCAAACATTTTAGAGGTATTAATTTGATATTTTACAATGTAATTTGTATGTTTGATAATGTTCTGCGTGTAATATTTTTTAAAAAGTGAAATGTCTCATGGGATTTTTTATACATACATATATATACATACGAAATTTATCCGATTGATTCCAAATTAGTAAATTTATTGGACCATTATTCAAAGAAAAACAAGAATTGAACGCATAAAACCTGTTTTTTTTTTTTTTTTTTCTTAAAAAAACTTGATTTTAAACATAAACGGAATTAATAATAATACTTGAAAATTCAGCCAAAATGATTATTTTTTTCCATTATATAATATCATTTTGTTCATCATCAAACTTTATTTTTTATTATTGCCAAACTTGACAAGCTTTAATATGGCTTTATATAGAAGTATTTTCAAAATTGCATGCTAAGTAACATTGGCCATTCCTTTTTTAAATATTCTTTGCGCTAGCTTTCTTAACTCTCGGATGATATCTGTGACCCATATACCAATACAATTGGTCTTTGGTTAGGCGTGAATTGTGAATTCTGAATTTATAAAAATTTCCCACACATTTGACCTTTAAAATTTTTCCCTTTTCTATACTAAGCAATTGCCCATTAAATGACAAATACTTGTAAAACTCGGCGATATATTGCTCTTGACTCAAATAATGTTATTTGTCATTTTGTTTGTTCAAACTTAATTTTTTTTTTAAAAGTCAATATCGTCGTCAACCTCGGATTTTTCTGGATCAATCAGATTGTACTTCAGATCCTTAAATTTATCATAGCTCGTTGGCTTTGTTTGACTATGCGTAATAATAATGGTCCTTAAATTTTACTTTCTATCGAATCACTAAATGGATAAGAACTCTCTTTTCAATAAAATAAATCTGAAAAGAATGCCAACGTGCTTTATTATAAATTTTTTTTTCTTTTCATCTAAAGTAAAAGTCTAATACAAAAAAAAAAAGTAAAAGTAAATCGAATAAAATAGCATAAATGTCCATTGTTAGTCTATTTATTATTGCATCCTTTATTTGCAAAAATTTATTCTCCAGAGTTGAGACTTTTAATCAAGATACCACTTTTCATGGACAGGTCAGAACACTAAAGCCAATTGAATCAAATAATGATGCATCTAGTTGGATGCAGTTGCCTCCTTCGCCTATTACACATGGTAATAACCCAGAACCTTATAATCTATTTGTTTTTAATAATGGTGGCGAGGTTGTTATCAAATTTTTTCTCTTAACCTGATAAAATTCTTTGATAATTATTTTTTATGATGAAATTCTGAACAACTTTTATGCTTGTTCATATAAAAACTACTTCCAACTTGGTTGTGCGTTGGAGGAAAATCAAAAGTTTGGAAACAAAGGTGATGGAAAACACATGACAAATAAAGTAATTGAATTATTAAAACCCTTTTCATACCAAAGTTAAATTGAAAATTAGGTATTCTAGACAGCAAATAATAATTTTTTATTACTCTTCCCAAGTGAAAAATTAATTGTCACTAGCATTTACTCAAATAGCGTGAAGCTAAGATCAACATGTTAAGCTTTAAAGACTAAACTAAGAAGGTTATGAAAAAGAGAAATTTAAAGTTTAGAGCCTAAGCTACATTGATGTTGGTTTGCTTTTTTTCCATATCCTCAGTTCAAAAATTATTAGCCTTTAAAGTTTGACAGTTTTGTTGATCTTAGATAATCGAAAAATGAGTACATACTAATACTAATACTTTCTTCTTCCAATATTATTATAATGTTTTTTTTATTATGCACATGTAGTTACATTTTTTTTCTAATTTATTAAATAAATAAATGCTGCTGTACAATTAAAACCTTAATTATCCTATTGTTGC